GGTGAATTGTGTTTATGTCACCAGATGTTCAAGAGAGAAAAAAAACAAACAAAACTAAAAAATTGCTCCTAAATATAAAACCTGAAATATGGCTACTGACCACTGGGAGCCACATCCTAGGAGCACTCCGTTTATCTGCAGGAAGAATGAGTTTCCATTCTCTGTGGACCGGCTTCCTATTTTCATTTCCACATTTAGACTCCGGTCTGCCTTGAATATTGAAGTAACAGGCCAACTACTCTTTTCAGTGTCCTAAACTGAAATGAAACTGGCAGTTCCTGACTTGTATCTAGATAGTTCTGATTTCCCCTGAGATTCAGCTGGCCTAGAAATAAGAAAAATACATCCCCTCTAAAACACAGACAAAAAGACCACAGAATTAACTGTCAGGGCTCTGTTTGATTTGTTCAGCCATCATCTGGTACAGTAATGAATTCTTCCCAGAGTCGAACAAGTGCTGTGACACATCTACTGCAATTTGTGAGTTTACACGATGGCCTAAGAAAACCTGAAAACATACTCACCGAGAAAACTGCATTTTGGAGTCCAAAAGGTATGGGGGTGAGTCTTGCTAAGGCCACAATTTTGAGTCCACTTCCTCCTTCCACCACGCGTATGACGGCACTGAGCTGTTCGTTGTTTCCAACTTTGTTCAGCACCCAGTCAGTCAACAGTCGTTTGCACACCACGTGTGCCACAAAGGTCCCTATTAGAACCCCCACCATAACTAGTCCCATACCCAGCACGAAGCCATAGAGGTAGCCAGCAGCCACATTAAGAACAATATATCCCCATCCACATGGAAAGGACACGATAATCAAACCAACTATAAAGAGCATGGCTCCAACAAAGCTGTCCAAACTCTCCACCCAGAGCAGGAGGTCCTTGAGGTATTGGCGTACCAGAGCCACCGAGGAGAAGCACACAGCAGTGAGGATGCACGCCAGCAGGGCGCTTTTAAAACAGAAGGTGGTGATACAACACGGGTGTCTGAACTCTGCACCACCGGTGAAGGTCGTCCCCCCTGCGTCAACGCTGGCTTCGGGAACACCATCCGACTTCCCCAAGCCAGCCCCCCTCTCATCAAAGGCGTTGCATATTAGGATGTCGATTTTGTCACACTCGTCCGTGGAGGTCTTCTGCAGCCAGCGGTTCAGCTGGATCTGCGTCTTGCCCACTGCGTGCTTTACAAGCTTGGTGAAAAGCTGCACGGTCGTAGCCCCTGACATTGACATGTCGGTCCTCAAACAGCCTCTGGGGACCAGCAGTGGAGCTCAGATTGACCTGGAAGCAGCTGTTATGTTACAGGTTCCTAGAAAGCGTCTAAACACAGTCAAAGTCCATCTCAACAGAGACAAGTAATCACAAACTTCGCAGACGATGGCTTCAGCATAAGTAGTAGTCCATTGCTCTGGTGCTCTTACTGCACTGGCATAGTAAGGCATACAGGTAACCTTTTGCCATTACATTAACTGCCCAACTTAACCCGTGTTAGCAGTTTATCTCGGGTACACCAGCTGTGTCGCGTGCCAGCGCAGTGACTTGATGTTGTCAGTTTTGTAGTCGCTGTCTAAAGCACTCGCCATCTTCAGAGTTGTTATCACTTCGCTCAGGACAAGGTTGAGTCAGTGGCCACGACAAAGATGGGTCTGCATGACAAGGGGAGAGCCTGTGTTATCCACATCAACTTTCAGGACTCCCTCAGCATTCACATCCAGCTTTAGCGATAACTCACCAGCACAAATCACTGCGTGGCTAACTTACTCTCCGCCGTTAGCTAACTAGCTCTCTGCGAGGATAAAGTCCAACAGTGCAATCTCGAGACTAAAACCACCGCCACCGGCCTTTCAGAGCCGCCTCTCCCGGACACCAGAGCGACAAACAGGACTCACAAGCCGGATGTGAAAGCCCAGTTTGCTCTTTGTCTCCAGGCTAGCTGCTGTTGCTGTTTCACTCGTCGTCCTCTCTCCTGAGTGGATGCTGTCGATGTTGAAGCTATTCATACAGACCACTGTTTGTGTCCCAGAATGCCAAGTAACCTCAGCCCACGTGACCCACCGTTGAACTGTTTCAACCAATCAGAAAGCTCTCGATGTCACCGCGAGATTTTTTTTTAAATAAGTTGTTTTTGAGCGATTGCTTGAACGATTTTGTTTCTGTCAGCCAAGCTTAACGCGATCCCTGTAACGTTTCTTTTACTTCAATCATTCGGAGTCTCTCTGTGTTTTTAAGGCAAGATATAAGTAACAGATATCACCGTGAAATGTCCCCGTGTTGATACTCCTTACCGTCAGTGTGGCCGGGAACGTAGCTACGTGGAAAGCTCTCCTTTCTAAAAATAAACAGGAGCAAACACAGTGATTTCATTAGAAAATTACAAATTACGCAACAAGAGGAAAATAAACATAGGAATTAGATTAAAAGTCGTTTAAAGATGGCCGGGATTTCATTTTGAACACACGTCATTTTTGATGGTTTATGAAATTTAAATAAATGTAACTGATAAACAACTGAAGCAAATGAAAACACACACACGCATGAGATTCATATAAATTCATGAGAGCAATTTATTGTTGTTGTTGTTGTTACATGCTTTCTGAGACTTATTTTATTGTGTGTGTGTGTGTGTGTGTGTGTGTGTGTGTGTGTCTCAATGTGCAGAACAGATATTACCAGGGATGTCAAACTCTTTTAACATCGTGGGCGCACTCTGACCTTCAGTGGGCCAGACCAGTGAAACTTCCCTTTCTGTCAGTGTAAATGCATGTAACTGCACATTTAATCCCAGAGAAGCGTTAATATAGGGGGGAAGTGCAATTTCAACAGTATTTCTCAGTTTTTCTACATTATTAATGTAGAAAATGACAGAAAGGTTTTTGGTACCTCATTGCCTAGATAAGCATTCCAGTACTGATATCATTATTAGTAGTATAAGTAAGTAGGCACTAAAAACAGGAACTTTTCTGCCATTTAATTATCTATTACTTTACTTTGGTATAGTATGGCAATAGGAGAGGTTTTTATGAACTTGTGAAAAACTTATCAAAATACAGATTAAAGTTTAAATCTATGCATTCCTTCACACTTTCTACAACCTTTCAGTGGGCCAGATTGGAGTCTTTGCCAGGCCAATTCTGAACCCTGGGCTTTATGTTTGACACCCCTGATCTACACATATGTTTGCTCACTGGAATATAAGCCTACAAAAAAAGGTTCTCAATTCAGTTTTATTCTACTATAAAAAAAATTATATGTTTCCTCTTGATCACCTAAAATAACATGCTCTTAAATTCAGCTGGCAAAAGTATAGATTGTCTCCAATCAGTCTTCATTCACAACAAGATGAATTAAGCTTAATATTCTTACCATGTTCATTCAACTGCATTATCTTCTGCCAGTGGGGGTTATTGCATCACAGTTAGTCCTCACTGGGTCATGTATATTCTGCTAAAGAGTTCATATTAACACTTGTTTTAAAAATAGCTGTCAAAGAAGGAATCAAAAATAAATATCCATCATGCAATGAGGTGATGCAGAAGCAGACCTAAATGCAGTACATGTACCACAAATCTGTAACTGAACAATAATACTGCAGTAAATATAGTTAGCATAAAAATACACTGCAGATCATTTTTATGGACATAATTTCACGTTTATAAAAATCTGGTTCATAATTTCAGACGGCACACTACTGTGATACGTAGCAGAGTAAGAGCACTTTCACTTATTCTCCTGTATTTCTGAGAGCATGCAGTATATTATAGCCTGAGGGGAATCATCCTGCTTGGTGTGCTCAGCATAAATTCATAACGAGGGGAGTGAAGCAGACAATAAGTTCATTGGTGCATCTAACACCGCTTTCTCGGCTGTGGAGCTGTAAGCCTTGAGGTGGTAGTCCTTTAAAAACAGGCTAACCCCTCCTATCTGAGTATTATCTTACATAAACTATTATGGACTATTAATTACATTACATGTTTTTTCTTTTTTTTTTCATCAATGTAATGTTTGGTTTTGTTGATCTGTATTTTTGTGCTATCACAGCACCCCACTAGATGGAAGTGTTACACAGTTTTACAGCCATTTCAACCCACTACAAGTTTAGCATGAGCGATACATGTGGCAGATTATAACATATCCTTGTTATTGTTCAATATTCCTCTTCTTCTGCTTCTTCTTCTTCTTCTTCTT